ATATATATATATATATATATATATATATATATATATATATATATATATATATATATATATATATATATATATATATATATATATATATAAGAAGTCAAAAATTCTTCCCTCATTTTTACAAGATTAAACCGAAATCAACCCTTTTCTCTCAAGGATCTGCAACCGAAAACACCTCTCTCCTCTCAAGAACATACGAAAATCACTTGATTATTCTTAGAATCTTACAAGTATTAACTATTGATCTTGTTTTCATTTCAAAAACACCTTCCAATCTTCTTATTTTGGGCCGAAAACACCAAAATACATTAGATTTCACGAAGAACATGAAGAACACGAAAAACACCCACACACTATTCTAAGGATTATTGTAAGTCTTTTTACAATAATTAAGTGTTGTTTAACACTTTAAACATTTCTATACTATCTAATTTATACTTAATTTTATATTAATATAAATTAGGATTCAGTCTTTATCACGAGTTTTAACTTGTGGATTTAGCTCTACTACACTGTATCTACAACCGGAAACTCAAAAATGGTGAGTTCATACCCCTGCATTTTTACTATTTTTCAATGTTTTAAGGGGGGGAATACAAGTCTAACACAAGAATATTGTGTTTACAATCAAATGATTTCTAAATATTTCTAAAACGACTTTAAATTACTGAAACTCTTTCAGATATTTTCAAACTCTTTTAAATGTTTTAAGAACTCTTTTAAACTTATATTTTTCCAAAATCATATATATATATATATATATATATATATATATATATATATATATATATATAAAAGATTTAAAGGGCTTAAGACTAATATTTCGCTTTATTTCCCTTTTCCTTGTCTGGATGTGAGCTTAGGGTAAAATTATTTGTCTGAATGTCGTTTATATTTTAGTTATATATATATATATATATATATATATATATATATATATATATATATGTATATATATATATATATATATATATATATATATATATATATATATGTATATATATATATATATATATATATATATATATATATATATATATATATATAAAAGTTATTTCAATCAGATTCATATTCCTTAAGGGGATACTTTCATGAATATTACATATCAAGCATAACACACATAAATTATAATAGGTATAACTTATGGAACTCTGAAACTATTTTCACGAATCAGTTATACAAAGTTTAACAGATTACTCTCGTACAAATACTTTACATTCAAGTATACTAGAGAAATATCAAACTATCAGTTCATTTACTTCAAAATGACTTTTCATCATTTGTTATATACGTAATCGTCAATATGCTTTTTGTGAGACATTGTTCAGTTGCTTATTCATTTAGGCAATACTATTAAAGCCCTGATATTATAATAAGAATCTCCCGACAGAGAGCGAGACTAATGTGTATAGATCTATACGGGATTGATAACCCGCTCTCAGACTGTTAGCAATAGTTAGGCTGGTATGCCTATGAGTGACAAATGTCGTTAACAGTTATGACGCCTACAACGCGTTGTATCATGCCATCTAGTCATAGTATGGTTATAATAACTCACAAAAAAAGATATGAACAAATACGATTAGTGTATAATTAATTAAACCAAAGAGTACGAATACAAAGTGCTGGTTTTGCAATAATACGATTTACAGTATTACATTACAAAATACAGCTGGTGGAGCCAAGGATACTCACTTATACAGGGTTTTCAAAGAGTACAATTACAGAACTTGGAAAACATAAACAATACAGAGAACATTCTTTTTATAGTTTTATTGAATTAAAACTATGTTACGCTATTTTATAGTTTTATTGAATTAAAACTATGTTACGATACTTTATAATTTTCTTGAATTAAAAGTATGTTACACTACTTGATAGTACAACAACACTTATACAGAACGATTTTATGGTATTAAAACTACTTTACAGTTATATCAGAAAATATTGGATTTTCTGGAACAATAAACATGATTACTATTTCAAGAAACAAACATCAAAACTTCTATACATATATACTTATGCACTCACAAACTTAAATGTTGATACTCTCTTTTTCAATACACTTGTATTCTTAGGGAACCAGTAGACAAGTACATCCCCGGGATTTTGAGAAGACGGAACAGTATAGAGTCATGTCTTCTATCTTTTGCTATACATAACTTTTGATGTCATATATACAATGACTTGAACACTATGTAAAACTTATACATTATTAATGCAATGGTTGTTGTACTTTGATTACTATGATTCATGTGTTGTGATACTTAACATGAAGTCATCCACCCCCAGACGTTTCCGCCGCTCCGGTTTGGGGGTGTGACACTGTCATACTCTTAAGAGTAAATGACGGCTTGAGAGTAAACGTTAAAGGTATTTTACCTTTAACGGCCAACGTTAAGCTTTCAGTCAACGTTAAGAGTGTGAAAACGATGCAATCTGAAAGAATCTGGTGATTCAAGCATCTGAGTGCCCTTAAATGGTAACTTCATTGCTGCTTGCTTTTCGAACTCATAACCCCACTGTAAGTTCTACTTATTCCTCTGTTTGTTAAGGTTTTGGGCCTTTTGTGTTCTCTAAGTATTTTAACTCTATTATAGTCGTTGTTGTTTGTTGGTTATATTTGTTTTTTTTATACTGTCAGATTCCAAACTATCAATATTTTGACTGTGAGTCTCTCTGTCTGTACCATACTTGCTCGGGAACTAAAGTGTCTACGAATCTGGGTGGTATAGATAGCATTGAGTGGGACTTATAGTGGTTGTACATGATGATTTGGTTTCTTTGTTGTTTTTACACCATGTCTGGTGCAGGAGAAACTCCTAAAAGTTCTGGTTCTAAAAGCAGTGTTGATCACTATAATTTTGATGATCCTTTGTTTCTTCATCCGTCTGATAATGGTGTTGTCTCTATAATTAGTATTAAACTTACTGGTCCTGAAAATTTTAGAATCTGGAGAAGCTCTATGATAAGGGCTTTGAAGGGTAGGAATAAGCTTGGGCTTGTCGATAATACATTTTCTAAACCTACTACTGATGAACTTAAAATACAAAAATGGGAAAGAGACAATGCTATTGTTTGTTCTTGGATTCTTGGGTCAATTTCTGAATCCATTTATGCTAATCATGCTTATTCATAAGTTGCTTCTACTATATGGACTTAATTATACGAAACTTATCATAAAGTTGATGCTTCTGTTGTTTTTAATCTTCATAAGAAAATTAATTCTTTATGTCAAAATGGAATGTCTCTTTTAGAATATTATAGTAAACAAGATGCTTTGTGGAAAGAATTTGATGGTTTAACAAATTTGGTCGAATGTACATGTGATGCCTCTGTTCATCTTAATGATCATTCAAAGTTAATGAAACTCATGCAATATCTTACTGGTCTGGATGATGTTTTTAATCAATTTAAGAGTCATATTCTACTTATGGAACCACTTCCTAATGTTAGAGCTGCTTTTTCAATGGTGTCTAGAGAGGAATCCCACCCAAAGGGAGGATCTCTTTCTAGTACACCTTCTAAAACTCAAGGATCTGCCTTTGTTCGAAAATTTTCTAATCAAAATAGTTGTAAGTCCCTTAACTTGGATCTTCAATGTATCAATGCAATTGTTTGAATTAATGCGGAATCTTAATCAAATAATGATACGAAACAATCAATAAGATATAACAACAACAAGTTTCAAATGAATGCACACGATTCTATTGAATAATTGTCAAGTACATTCATACACTCTTCAACCGTGAATCACTATTGTTCACCGAAAACGCATTTAATCTGTCAAACAGCTATACATAGACTATATATATATATATATATATATATATATATATATATATACACACTACACCGATTAACCTAAAGCCCAAATAGAATAAGCCCACCGAAATCACTAGGAGATTTCGGTTCAAAAACCGAGAACCATATAATACATACAAAACAAAGCATAAACCACAAAATATAGCCCAACAATCTCCCCCTTAGTTTATTGCTTTTAGTTCACTTCAAGGCTTCTCCACGAAATGCACGTCCGCTTGATCAAATGCCCCTGCCCACAACTTCTTGTCAATTATTGTAGCTACCATTCTAGTGAAGGCTTTTGCGGTAGCTTCAAATAATTCATTCTCAACAATTATTTGAAAGTTTGACAAAGTGCGGATATCACGTTCTCCAAACTTCAACAGATCTTTGGGATCAACAATACGAAACTAGTTTTTCTTCAGCTTGATTACTACAGTAGCAGTAGCCTCATCATAAACCCAGAATTGTATTGTGTCCAAAGTGCCTTCAGGTAAGCGTTTGGGAAGTGGAATCCTCTTAGTTTCCTTCGTGGGTGGCCACTTGACATTCACTATGTTTTTATTTGTTCGAGGATCAATGACATCCTTGGCCTTTTTAGTAAACGATGAAATAGACTTTAAGCCTTCAAAGTTTTTTCGCTTTGATCTCAAGAAAGTTCTTAAAAGACCAGGCCATGGTGTCATTGGTTGGATTGTGGAAATGTGCATGGATAAGTTCAGAAAGGTCAACTTTTGTCCAGGAGAAAAAGTAAACTTTCTTCTCATAGTATTCATTTCTTCCACTTTTCTGTTTCACCACCCACATCCTCTTATCAGCATCATATACCCACATGGTGATGCCAGAACGGTCCCCATATTTATCTGTGAATTTCTTTCCAGTTTCTTTGAAAAACATCTCAGGGTGATCACCTGGAGCATTTTGGTCTGAATGCTTCATCACTAGCATCTTCCCTTTCAGCTGCTCAACTCTTATTTGCTTCTCTCTTTTTTCTTGAGCAGAAGCAGGACCAGAGGATAAGAATGTATCAAGATTAGCATCCGGAGCAGGTCTTGCAGCTCTTTCACTTGTAGGTTGAGAAGTTGGATTGGTTGGACCAGAACTAGAAGCAGTAATCTTTTCTCCTTCAGCGCTTAAAGGTTGAAATTCATCACCAAACTTTTGAAATAGGCGTTGTTTCAGGTCAAAGAATAGAGCAGTTAGACCACCAATATTTTTTGAAGTTTTGAGATCTTTGAAGCTTTGTCGGAGTTCTCTTTCTCAAGCTCACTGATATGAATGTCCTGCTTTCCAATTATCAAATCTTTTTCCGCAGAGCTTTGTTCTAGATCAAACACTCTGTTTTGAAGCAGAACCACATCAACCAGTTCAGAGTTAGGCAACTTGCTTTTGCCTTTGGAGATGTCCAGCTCAGGTGTTTCAAATGAGCTTCTTGAAGCTTGAGCACCTTCTAAAGGTATGACATCTTCTTCAACAACTGGGCTTTCAAAAACATGATCCATAGGAATGGATTCAGTGAACGGGCTTGACATTTCTTGAGTCACTGGAGAGATCTCACTGAATGGGCTTTGAATGTTTTGAGTTATCGAACCGGGCACAGTCGATGTAGATTTATTTTGAACTGGGTATGTGATAAGCACTCCCGGCCTTAGATCTCTTCTCTTTCGCTTCCTTGGAAGTAAAGCGTTGGCTGAGTCTTCTGGATCACTTCCAGATGGAGGTTCAATATCAACAGGAACTGTTTGGGGAGGCTTCCTTGCTGTTCTGTGAAGTTCTACAATAAGAGCATCCATCTGTTCAGGGGTAGGTGAGGAAGATTGCACCAATGTATCACTTTCCCTCTCAGTCACGATCGGAGGTGTGACAACAACATCCTCTTGTGGGATTAAAATACTTTGTTGAATAAAATTTTCAAAGTCATTTTCTGACAGTTCATTTCCTTGATCCTCTTGATCTTCTTCATCATTAGATACTTCAACCTCTTCAAAGGCAAATTGAAATTTTGGTTTGTGCACCACGTGTTCCTCGGCAACCTCAGCATTTATGGAACTACTAGCAGGAGTGTCTTCAACTTCAACAAACTTTCCAAATATAACCAACTCCTTCAATCCTTGATAAGCTACTTTAGCAGGCTTTCTTGATTGCTTCATGAGTCCAAAGGTGTTGAGACCCAAAGCTTTCATATCTAAAGTATCTGACGACCTCTCAATTTGGGGATATTTTTCATTCAGGATCATCTGAAGGAACCTGGGGTACATAAAAAATAGATCATTTTTCTTTCCCTGAAGGTTACTCTTCATCTCTTCAAAAACGAATTTTGAGAATTTGTAATCCCAGTCCATAGCCAGAGCGACAATGGCTGAGGTCACAGTCTGACTAATTTCATCAGAACCCCCCTTCCTTCCAGAAATGTAAATCACAAAAGAATGTGTCAGGAACCTCCAGTAAGGTGGCAGTAACTTCTTGATGTTGGGAGGATAAGTTCCTTCATAACACATCTTTTCCAGAACTTCCTTGACTTGATCAGCAGAGTACTAAATTGGGAATGCAGATGCATCACCAAATTCAAGTACTTCTTGGATAACTTGTTCAGAAATAATTACTTGTGTTCCTTTCACCATCAATTCAACAGTACCAGCTCCATCTGCTCCCAGCTTGTTGATCGAAGCATTTTTCCAGAACTCAGTAATCAGGTCTCGGTGGATGACTGGATTAGCACGAAGAACTTGAGAAATCCTGCAGTTGTTCAAACCCACCATCATGGATTTGAATTCTTGATGAGCAACAAGTGGATCCATGAGATATCCCACAATGTTGTGAGAATCTACGAATTTTAGTTGCTCTGTTATTTATCTGCACCAAACTAGCCAAGTAAGAATTAATTTAAAATTAATTAAATTGAGTTTGAAGTCTGATTTCGGTTAAAGTCAAAGCTTTAGTCGATTTCGATTAGAGACAAGGTTTCAGTCGTTTTCGGTTAAAGTCAAGATTTTAATCGATTTCGGTCAAAAAGATCGATTTCGGTCAAACCTCTTGTTTACCAGATGATTTTGGTCAATGATCGGTCAAGCCTTCATCTGATTTCGGTCAGATCGGGGTTGAACCGAAAACCCAAAATCTCATCGGAACCTGTTCTAACTCGGTTCTTTGGAAAACCTTGAGAAATTTACTCAAAAACCTACAAATCTATGAAACCAAGTGCATCAAAAACAACTTTAAACAATATTGCCATGATCGAAAACAAAACAATACCTGATTCACTGAACAATTTTGCAACAAAACAACAAATGAGTAGGTTTTTGCAGAAAACTCAAAGAAGTTAGAGAGAAAAACGACGATGATGATGATGGCTGTTTGGGGTTTTTCGGTGAAAAATCCTAACCAACCAAAAATGAAGTATATATATCACCAAAAAGTCCCAGACGGCCCACTTAATCGATTTCGGCCCATGAAAGTTAACCCAATTTTAATAAGAATGATTTCTTTCGATTTTATATTTCAAACACCAAATAAATAATAATAATAATATTAATTTTTTGATACTGTGTTCTTAATTCATTATAACTGTTTTGCATTAATCATTAGATTGGGATTCCACACCAATTCTAGTGATTTCGATTGATACGTTGGATTGGGTTTTACAATAGGTATCAGAGCAAGTATTGGCATCAATCGAATTGGCAAGATATTAAACGTTCCTTGGAATTTTTCTTGGTGTTTTTAGTGTTTTAGAGTTCTTTTTGATGAATATTATTGTTGTTGTTCTTCGTGTTCTTCACTACATTGGAGACTTTGATCAAAATTGGTCTTCATAATTTACAAGTTTCGTGTTTTTGGGCGCTTTCGGTCAAGGCTCGGAGTTCGCGGTGGAAAACTTCAAGTTCTTGGTTAGGTTTAGGAGTCTTCGGCGGCCAGCTGAAGTTGTTTGGATTTGCAATTGAAGATTAAAAAAATAGAAAATAAAACCTCAGGATTATCAAGAAAATTCAAACCGTAATTCAGTAATTGAAGTTGCATCCAGATAACCTGAGAGCAGAAATATTTAGCAACAACAACGTATTTAGCCTCAACTGTGTTTCAATTCCGAAACGAAGTTAACATATTCAAAATTCATCACGCCGTTAAATACGGTCCCCATTTGTGTGATCTTTTCTTTCTCCCTTCCCGCAAAGGACACATACCCTCAATTAAAGTTCTGAATGTCATGCAGTTGAGATATGTCTTCTGTCATGTGCCTTGAACAACCATTATCAACATACCGAAGTCTGATGATATTCCTCCATAGTTGCTCCACACAGAGTGCGGGATTAATTGGTTTTGGGAACCCAGTCCATTTTGAAACTGGGTTTACCATTACTATCTACACAAGATACTCTTTCCCATGACATATCCTGTTTATCAGATAAGGAACATAAGTAGTTATACGACTTTTGGACAATTTTGAAATGTGACCTTTTGGAACCCATTAGTAATTATGTTTAAGCATTTTAATGTTTAACCAAATGGGTGTTTCAATAATTGATTTTGAAATGGAACTACCTTTTGATTTATATTTGAATTGCAAGTGTAAGCTAGAGGACAAACCTTGAGATGAATTCGACCTCACCGAATTCGGTTTGGCTGAACCATCTCTCGAATTAGGCTTCTTGTCCGACATGCCCTTTTTGCCCTTGGGAGTCTGATTCTTGGCCTTTTTAGCATTCCAATCACCATTACGTGAACGTGACCTCGAAGGATTTATTTTGGAATATCTCCCCCTTGGCACGTTCTGCCAACCTTGTTCATAGTAGGGAACATATGAACGATGTGGGCAATTTCTAGCAATGTGACCAGGAGTCCCACAGTTAAAACAAGTTTTTTTTAAATATATAAGATTGTGACTTGGTCCTTGTCCAAATTCAATTTGTCTCAAATAAATTCCACAAGCACAAGCACATTTATTAGATTGTTTAACAAATTTTCGTGGCTTGAATTTTTCAACAGTGGGATTATTATCATCATAAGTTTTTGAAGCATTTTCAATAGAACAAGAATTATTTTTGTTCTGCTTGAACCCATATTGCACTGTTACTTTATCTGCACATGAGGTAGAGACGTTAGTATCGTTCACCTCAACACTTTTAGTGGGGCCAGATTGTTCGGTCTTAACTTAATTTGATACACGGAGCTGGCCATATTGAGCAGGTTTTTCTAATTCTATAGCTTCAGAGGTAGAAATATAATTATCAATAAAAGGAGATGGAACACTATGATACCCTAAGCCATTTTTCTGGTTATCTTTCCTTTTCAATTGTTTTTCTATCATAGATTCAAATATCTCACTTGCCACATCAAATTTCTTAAAGTTAAATTCAACATCCTTAAATTTGGCATTTAATGCATCAAGTTCAACAATTAACTTTACAATTTTCTCCTTGGCAAAACGATAGTGAACACATTTCGTGTTATATTCTTCTTTAATCCCACTTAAATCTTTAGTTTGTGCTTCTAGTTTTTCTTTAAGCGGTTTGTTTACTTTCTTGATTTCATATATTTCATTTTTATGGTCAAAAACCTCCCTAACTAATAACTCATTTTTGTTCACGATATTTATTTATTTTATCTTCACTGGATTGAGAGCATGAGGTTTTACTTACCTCCTTGGTGATTGAACTGTTGTAAAGACTCATTATTTATCAACGGTAAAAATATGGTTGTGCGAATTGATTTTGACCGAAAGCCAAGATAAATACCCTTTGACCGAAAACACCCATAGTCAACACCCTGTTGACCGAGAACCTTGAAGGTCAACTGTTTGACCGAAAACAGTTTATCGAGAACAATATGTTGGCCGAGAACTCTTCCAAGCCGAGAACCTAATATCCTTTTGCCGAAAACGTTATTCACCAGCCGCCGTAAACACTAGAACCTAACCGAAAACGAATTTTTGATCGTGTTTGCTTATCCAATGAATTCCAAATTTGGTAAATTACCAAAAACAATTTCCCACGCAATATCCTCCAAAATTAGTGAAGAACACCAAGAAAATGATGAACACGAAGAACAACAAAAATCCTTTTTCTTTCAACACAACCAAAAAACACCACAAAGGAAAGAATGTTTCGAAAGCAATTGATACCCAAAACAGCCTTAAGTCGTTTTTAAGGCTCTGATACCACTTGTAAAACCCAATCTAATGTATCAATCGAAATCACTAGAATTGGTGCGGAGTCCCAATCTAATGATTAATGCAAAACAGTTATAATGAATTAAAGAACACAATATCGAATCTTCAATGCACACTATATTGATGAATAGTCTAGTACATAAGATCTCAATGTTTCTCGGTTCTCTCTATCTCTTTAAAACTCGAAATCAGCTAATGGAATCACCAGCCCTAATTACGGATGAAATAACACTATATATACCTAGACCTAATTACAAAGGCCAAACCCAAAAACCCAACCGAAAGCATCATTAAGCCCACCGAAATCACAAGGTGATTTCGGTGGTGTTTGGACCGAAATCACCATGTGATTTCGGTGGGCTTAATGATGCTTTCGGTTGGGTTTTTGGGCTGGGCTTTTGTAATTAGGTCTAGGTATATATATATATATATAGTGTTATTTCAGCCGTATTTAGGGTTGGTGATTCCATTAGCTGATTTCGAGTTTTAGAGAGATAGAGAGAACCGAGAAACATTGAGATCTTATGTACTAGACTATTCATCAATATAGTGTGCATTGAAGATTCGATACTGTGTTCTTAATTCATTATAATTGTTTTTCATTAATCATTAGATTGGGATTCCGCACAAATTCTAGTTATTTCGATTGATACGTTAGATTGGGTTTTACAATAGTAATAATAAAACTCATGGTAATCAGAATTTGCAATGTAAAAATTGTGGTTTAAAAGGTCATACTATTGAAAGATGCTATAAAATAATTGGTTTTCCAAATGATTTTAAGTTTCGAAACAATGATTCACAAGGTTCCAATAAGTCTATTTCTTGGAATGTTAGTGTATTGAGCACTCAGACTGACAACCAGTTTGTGAATAGTGCTCAATATAGTAATACTTATCAATCTGATTGTTTTTCTGATAAGTTTTACTTGACTAGTGATCAATATGCTAAGTTTGTGAGTCTTATAAATGAGAGACAATGAAC